GGTCTGAGCCGCAGCGCCACCAGCAATCGAAGCCACCGATGCGCCAGAACTCGTCGTGGCGAGTTTCTTAGAGCGGTGCTTGGAAGCGACCTTCTTGGGAGCCATGAGTACTCATCGAGGGAGATGAACATAGAGCTCACCGTAGTTTGGAAATGAGAAAGCTCGGAGAAGAAGTTTGCGCAAAATGCAGAAGAGTTGAAAGGACTCTTGATTTGACCATGGCGGTCTATTTATAGATAGTTGGAGTTGTCAAATCGGCACGGGATTTGAGGCCAAAATCCTACCCAAAACGTGATTTCCTCGTTTACGTTGAGTCGGTTAGACTCCTGAAATGCAGGGTTTACCTTTGCGTTTCAAATTTTAAACGCCAGGTTCACCTCTGCATTTCAAGACTTAAACGCAAGGTTCACCTTCATATTTCAAAATTCTAAAGCTTTGCAGCTGGTGTTTCTATGGTGGCTTCACAGTCCTTGTCTCTTTCTCACCTAACTCTTGCAACTGCGCTTCACATATCCAACAATGCCTACAAGAATGTTCTTGATGTTGCTGTTGACACTGAATACACATTCTCACAGGCTGAGAGAGTGAAGGAGTATCTCAAGGATCCAAGCAAGTTTGCTACTACTCCAGCTATCAAGGAAAAGGAGAAAAATGAGCCCGCTAATAAGTCTGACGATGATGACTTGGGCTTTAGCTTATTTGACTAAGTTCTTTGTCATCAAGTCCTAAAAAGTTACCTTGTTTGGTTTAGGGTGCTTCAGTTACTTAAAAACTTGAAGGAGCGCATTTCGTCTCAACCCTTCAAGAGAAAGCCAAGTGAAGATGCCTTCCGACTCGATCATTTCATTCTATGTGGGGATGTCTTTCGAGCCGGTCTTCCTGAACGAGTTCGAGTAAGGACACCCTTCGAGTCGACATTTCCATATGAGGACGTTTTTCAAGTCTGCCTTCGTGAGATAAGGGCCAAGTTTTACAATTAATTGAGATATCCATTACTTTCTGGAGTGAGGTTAACACTTGGTGATTTCTATGATATAACAGTAGCATAAATAACTTATATTAATAAATATAATAAATATTGGTATAATCATATCGTACATATGTTTAGTTATATAACGATTTAATTTATTAAATTCATAGTAATAGTATTATAGTTTATTTTTAATACTATTTCCAATGTAATTGGACATAAATAAATATTTAATACTTCTTAGGGTTAATTTATATTAAGTCTCTCAATTATCACACTCTGCTCATAATAAGGTCTCCCGGAATGATCCTTTCATTCCTAGACTACCAATTCCCACCGCCACCCCCCCCCGTCCCCGCTTTCTAGCAATACATCTCGTTTTTTTTAACGATACAGTGTTGTTTTTTATTGCTACAGTAATATATTTCAAATGTTACGGTAATATTTTTTTAAATGATATAGTATCCCGCCTATGCTACAATAATTTTTTAAACTGATATAGCAATACATTTTTTAATGCTACAGTAATATTTTCTTTAATGCTACAGTGAATTATTGTAGCATGAACAGTGAATCTTGGTTCCTCCTATTATTATAAGGACTCGTTTGGTACGCGGGAATGAGTGGGAATGGGATGCAATTCCTACTCTTTTTTCATACGTACCAAACATGATGTATTTTTAGATGCTAGAATTGAAATTCTTACTTCTTATCAATTCCCACTTTATGTGGGAATTGTCATTCCCAACCATTTAACAAGGAATTAATATTCTCACTTAAGTGTGAATAAAATAATAAAATAATTTCCAATTATACAAACTTCTTAAAAGATACGAATAGATATAAATTCTCATATGAAAATTATTTTTATAAAAAATTGTCTTATCTTAAGCTACTAGTACAAATATACAAATAAATATAAGCATGAATATAACTTGTCTTAGTTCCAGTATACAAACATCGTTTCTAAGCCTAGTTCCAATATTTTGTGATATTATTTTTTACTAAACTTTGATATTGTTACATAGAAAGTATATTAATGCCGACCTTGCCTTAGTTCCAATATCTTTTATAAATCTCTAACGATTATCTTTTAATATCACCGACCTTGACCTAGTTCCAATGTAGTTCCAATATCTCTTATGAGGCATTCTTCTCTTCACTAGCGCACAATGATGTTAGCAACATTAGTTGCTCGTACAAATAATAGACATGTAGCACTAGAAGTTAGAAAAGTGAAATTATAATTATTTATAATCAAAAATAATTTTTATAAAAATTATTTTTCAAATTGTAAGCCAAAAAGTCCGAAATTATTACCGAGACGGTGTACCAGAATATAACTATGACATGAAAATTTATTTCTCTAAGGAAAAAAAATATCATTTCTATAAAACTTATTTTTCTAAAAAATGAATTATTTAGTCATTTTAAAAATATTTTTAATATTTTTAAAAATTTTGTGTTTTGGTAAGGGTATTATTAGAAAACTAAATTTTATTCTTACTTGTGAACAAATGATTACAAACGTGGGAAAGAGAATAAGTTTGACATTCTCGTTTCACTTTCTAAACGCGCTCAAACATGAAAATAAGAATGTCCATTCCATTCTCAGATCTATTCTATTCTATTCCTACCTTCTTTTCATTCTCGCTTGACTTAATTCTCGCTTAGCAAACAACACGATAAAATGAATAGATGGACCCGGAAGCCCCGACAAGCTGCTTCGCCGGCATATCCGCTGCCCGTCCCAACACCGACCGCCACCTGTCCGATCGCCCTCCCCCTTCGGAAAAGCAACCAGCCCGCACCATCACCACACTTCCTCTTCGAAGTTCAAAGCTTAAAAAAAAAAGAAAATGCAAAATAAATCGCGTATAGAGTCGCAGCGATACATGGCTTCTCCTCCGAAAACCCTAGCCCTAATCCTGGCCTCCCCAACGACATCTCCGCGCCGTGATCCTCTCGTCCCTCCCCTCGCCCCTCCACTCCGCGCCTCAGGCTCACCTCCCGCTCCTGGCGCCTCTTCTTCTCCTCCCCCCCCCTCCTCCTCCGCCGCCGCTCCGCCTCCGCCTCCACTCCTCGCCCTCTTCCCCTCCGACACCCTCCCCTCCCTCCTCTTCGACCCACCTCACCCTCTCCTTCCTCCGCCTCCCCCGCCCCCCCCACCCGCCCCCACCTCTTCCACCTCTCCAAACCCCTCCCCCCTCTTCCTCTTCCCCCACCTCTACCTCCTCGGCGGCTCCCTCTTCGACGCCCGCTCCTTCCCCTCAACCTCGCCATCCCCTCCCCCTCCGCCCACCGCCTCGACTCGCCCACCTCCCCTCCCCCTCCCCCCCTGGTCCCCGCTCCCGACATGCCCTCCCCCCGCGGCTCCTTCGCCGCAGACCGCCCACGAGCCCCTCCCGCACCATCCTCGTCGCAGGCGGACGGATCCCGCCACCGGTCTACCCGCGTCCGACGGGACCCGGATAAAGAATGTGGAGGTCCTCGACGTGGACGCCGGGGAGTGGAGGGCCGGGAGGGGCTGGGGAGGTGCCGGCCGGGTGCGTCGGTTCGTGAGGGAGGGGGAGTTCTGGGTGATGGGCGGGTACGGGGAGTATAGGACGGTGGGCGGGTGTGGGCCCAGGGATGTTTTTACTGCAGGGACGCGGTGGCGATGGGTTGGAGAGCGGCAGGTGAGAGGAGGTTGGGGATATGTGGGAGGAAGGGGAGAGGAGGAGGAGGTTGGGGAAGGTTGGGGTTGTGGAGGGGGAGGACGGCGAGGCGGCGCGGTTTTTATGCTGGACCGGAACGAGATTTTCAGGTGAGCTCTCTCGTGTTCTCTGACGAATTTTGTTATCGTATTGTTTAGGTTAAGGTGGCTCGTTTGCTACGCTTGAGGGCTTCGGATTGCGCCGTTGCAATTTATGAGTTGCGGCATTGATGCCTATGTGTTCAAGCATGTTCAGTTTTCAAGACCTCCTTTTGTATTGTTAGGAACTGCAATTTATGTTAAGAGGTGGATTTGTTCTATATGCTTGAGGACTGTAGAGTACCCATTTATATATTTTCGGAAGAATAGCATGTCATGGCCACACTATTAGGGTATATTTTCCCGAACACCGTTCAAGGATCATTGGTTGTTTGATTGAAACACGATGTTTTTATTATGATGAACGTGAATATTGCTTTATTATATAGGTAAATGTCCTGCGTCTTACGAATAGTTTTGCATACATTTAAGGCATTCTTGTTCATGGTTTTTCAGATGAATCCTTACTGTGGTATTTCAAAGAAAAAAATATTGAAATATTGGATGACTCGCTGATATGGCAAGTTTTAGAAGAGAAGAAGAACATGACATTGGTGGACACACTAGAAGAGACAAATCTTTTTAAATAACGTGTGTAGAAATGTAGATAATTGGGATGCTCTGGATATCTTAATGTGTGCATAAGCTGTTCATAAGGAGCTTGTCTTTATCTTCATTACTTGTTGTTTTCTTTTTCCTCTCTTTTTCCTTTGGAGAAATCTGTTGCTGTTCTTCTAGATACAACTGGTTCTGTTTGTTTTACTCTTAGACTTGTACAAGTATATGATGCTAATCATATGTGTGTGTGTAAACCTTCAGATGAGGTTTTCAGATAATGTGAATGATTTTTCTGCAGATGGTACCTGTGCCTTCCATTTGTACATTACACTACATAGGTAGTTATTGGTTTGGAGTTTTGGCTATTTATTCTGATGTTATTTTGGAGAAATGGTGGGCATAATTTGGCTAGTGTGACGTTCAATGATTCAGTTGACTGATATGAACAATTTGGGATCTCCGTGTACTTGTTGAGATGCAATAAAGAAACTGCCTAGAAATGTCCAAATGTTGGATTATGACAAAGAACATAACAAGACATTATAAATGATTAGAAGAGTCAGTGTATGAGTACACTCATTGGCTTTGGCGGCCATAAAATTTGTAACTAACTTATAACCCCACGGCCGCGCGGGAGGGGGTGTGTGTGAAGGGTACTTTCTGGTAAAGGATGTACGGAACTTGGTGAATTTTATGAGGTAGAATAGTATTCTGTGGAATCTATTTTGTGGGAAGAAATTATACCAATGACAACTCACAGAGAATAATTTGAAGATAGAGGTTCATGTAATGCACAAATACAATATGTCCTGATGTAGCCATGTAGGCATACAAATAAGACAATTTCATAAAATTTGGGTTTGGCTACCTCATGGGTAGTCGATAATAAAACACGTCTTTGTGTGTTAATTTTATCTGATTTTTGTATGAATCTGGAAAGCTTAACTATCGATGGAGCACAATATTCTGATATTATTGAAATATTTTCAATGTCATATCCATGCTGCAGCATCAGTATGTAATAATGAATCTGCAATAGTTTATGTGAATAATTTCTTTACTAGGACTTCCTTACAAGAAGTTCAACAAACTATCTGATAATGCATAGTATGCATTTGCAAATTTAATAATAATGTATTCAGTAGTAACATCTTAGATTTCTGATATATCTATGATATGTGTAGAACAAGGTTATCGATAGCGGATAGCATCGCGTAACAGTGAGGCATCGCTAAGGCTATTTCGGGCTATTGCGGCAAAATAGCGGTAAAAAACGCAAAGTCAAATAGCGGTCTAATTTAGATATGTATAAATACTAAAAAAAATTAAAGAAAAATCTAAGGAATCTAAAAATACATATTAGATGATTTAAAGAGATCCTAAACATGAAATAGACATATAACTATCACGTAATACCGAAGATGACTGGAGGGGTCAAAAAGTCGTCGTCTTCGACAAAAGAAGAGCTTAAGTGGTGACAGGACTATCCTAAGAGGAGCTCACGGTGAAGGAGGTGAGAGGAAGTATCAAGGTAGGCGTCAGAGGCTATGAGAGGTGGGGGGAGTATGCTGAAAATCATAGGAGACGGTGGAATGCAATGATCAAGGGTTGAGTTTAATTTTTTTAAAAAAAGCCTCAAACCGTTTTTAAATAGCAGTCAAAAAGCAAATTTTGAATGCAATCGCTCACTATTTACCGTTATGACACACTATTGGCCGCTTTTACGAACAAACATATTTCGCAATATGTCACCGCTATTGCGCGATAGCGTAGCGGGCGATAGCGTCGCGGGAAGGGACCGCTAATGTTATTAGCGCCGCTATTGCGGGGCTATTTACCGTTATTTATAACGGCGATGTAGAACAGTGATAAAACATAGGATTCATCAAAAGGAGCTAGGACACTGTATCTAACATCATCTTGTGTCTAACATCATCTTGTATCAGATTGTCCAAATACTGGATATATGTTCCGTATGAAGGCAACATATCATTTAGTACAATTATAGGAAGCTTTGTTGTTCATTAAGGGGTTGTTTTGGCAGATTAAAAAATAAACTTAAGTAATCTACAACCTAAATAGTCTAGTTCCACATTTAGCACATAGACTCAGAAGAAAACTATAGAAAAATCAAAGTTTCTAGGTTCTTTCAGGCGGATGTGCCTTGTAGGGCAACTTTCCAAGACATCTTGGAAAGTTGGATAGAGAGATTTTCAAACTTAAAAGTCATTTTCTTGGTTTTTCTCCCGCTTTTCTGGGAGGAGCATAGTAAAAGGTTGCTGTAATCTCATATTTCCGCTTCCCATAATCTAATTTGATATGCTATAGATAGATAAGATCTAGAACTTCTTGTTTCTGTAGTTTCCTGGTGAGTGGGGTATACGGGAATGTTTCCAGTTCCTTTTTCTTCAAATTCCACTGCCAAGAGTCATTTTAAGGAAAACAATAATGGTCTGGACTTTACAGGTTATTATGAAAGCATTAAATGTTTTGTGATGCACTGTTCTGATCATGCAGTCCAAGGTTCTTTATGTTTTGGCTTCTCATCTTCGCAACTCTAGTTGAAACTCCGAGGGATAGAGAGCATTGTGTTATGTTATAATGAGAAAAATATCTTTAATTTCAGTATTGAACAAGCATGTGGGTGGTGTTGTTGGGCCCTATGTCTATGTGCTATGATATATTTGGTGGTGGTGTGCCTATGTCTATATGTTTGGTCAGGCTCTTGCTAACCCACTTTGCTAGATCTCCCTCTAGCTATATAATCTCTACTTTTACCTTGGTGCCTGTTCAAGGCCCATTCTGTGTGTCCTTGTGGTCATTGCCGACGTAGGCTGCTCTTCTGTTACTGTGATCAAGTGGGATGCTTGCTTCCATAAGGCTAAATAACACTTATATACCCTATGGTTTCACCTACTTTTCACTTATGGGTTATATACCCCAACTACAATTTGGTAGCAAAAAAAAAATACCCTAAGGTTTCTTAAACTTGACCTTATGTACCCTCACTTTTTTTGGGCAGCACTTAAGTACCCTAAAGTTCTTACAACTAGCACTTAAATACCCTAAATATTTAAAGCTTGCACATAAATACCCTTAGTCCTACAAACTTGAGGGTACTTAAGTGCAAGTTTTAAAACTTTTTAGGATATTTAAGTCCAGATATAAAAAGTTTAGGGTATTTAAGTGCAAGTTTTAAAAACTTTGGGGTGTATAAGTGCTACCAAAAACAAGTGAGGGTATATAAGTAAAGGTTTAAAAAATTTTAGGGTATTTTTTTGCTACCAAATACAAGTGGGGATATATAAGTAAAGAGTAGATAAACCAATAGGGTATGTAAGGTCTATTTAGCCGCTTCTGAATGCCTTTGCAGCCGGTTAGCTTACTTGTAACTCATCTGTTTTGATAATTTATATTAACTATCATAATCTTAGAGGTTCTAAATTTCCTTGAATTTGAAAAGGGTCTTAGACAAAGAGTGAAGATGATGCTTTAGTATGCAGAATTCTGTCACTGTTTTTATTGCTGTGCACTAACTTATTCCTAAAAATGAATTCTTTCTTAGTAATTTGAAGACAGTAATAACATAAAACTATTTTGTACTTGTCATGTCTGCCATTATCTTTACCATAAAAGTACACCAATCCTGCTGATAAACTGACCATGCCAAATTTTTCATCACTACCTGAAAACTTTGGGCTAGTGCCTATGTGGCTTTTTTTAAAATAAACTTCCCTGATAAAGCATGCAACCTATGTTGCATGGAAGCGGGCGTGGACACAGGTACAACACATGGCAAATTTGTAAAAGATACGAGTATGGGGACACAACTGCGCCTACACATACATATATTTATATTGAAATTGATAATTTACGTGAGAGCAATATGTTTTTCATTTACATATTATGGGATTTAGTATTCCTATAAAGTTTTTATGTTTCTTTTGTCTTGTAGATTATAAATTGAAAAACCGCTCATCTTGTAACTAGATGTGCAAACAACCCTTTAAAATCATAGTTATGAACCGAGTATGCTGAAAAAAACCTGATCCTTTTCCAAGAAGTTTCAAAAGAGATCCATTGTAGGATATATGTCGAAGAAGTGTATGGCGAGTGTTTTAATTTAAAACATGTGTATATAATTGATTTACATGTCTGAATAAATGTACGCATATATTCAAGTAGTGTTCAAGGAAGTGTCAGAGACCATACAGGTGTGTTACGCGTACGGCTTCATGGTTGAAGTATCCCCTCAACATGTCATACAACCATGCCATAAATGGTTTAACGATTCCATTTTTTGATATATTTGCTAGAACTAGATGGTGAGGTAAGTACAATCAATTAGAGACTACTAAATACAGTAACTTTTAAAATGCATGTGCAGCTTTAGTAGTGGGGTTAACGAATGGAGTTTCACGTTGTATAGGATATGATGCTGGCCATTGCAAGGCCACAATAAAGGTGCATGAATGCATTAGTTGCATTGCAGTTGAAGTCACTGAAGTGTATGGTTGGTGAAGAGAGGGCCAACATGGAAGGTGAAATGTGATACCATGAAGAGACATCCTTTGAAAATCGAATGAAGTATCCCCTCAACATATTATACAACCATGCCATAAATGTTTTAATGATTCCATTTTTTGATATATTTGCTAGAACTGGATGGTGAGGTAAGTACAATTAATTAGAAACTACTAAATATAATCAATTAGAAACTACAGTAACTTTTAAAATACATGTTCAGTCTTTAGTAGTGGGGTTAACGAATGGAGTTTCACATTGTATAGGATATGATGCTGGCCATTGCAAGGCCACAATAAAGGTGCATGAATGCATTAGTTGCATGGCAGTTGAAGTCACTGAAGTGTATGGTTGGTGAAGAGAGGGCAAACATGGGAGGTGAAATGTGATACCATGAAGAGACATCCTTTGGAAATCGAATGAAGTAGCCCCGCAACATATCATACAACCATGCCATTTATGTTTTAATGATTCCATTTTTTTGATATATTTGCTAGAACTGGATGGTGAGGTAAGTGCAATCAATTAGAAACTACTAAATATGATCAATTAGAAACTACAGTAACTTTTAAAATATATGGGCAGTCTTTAGTAGTGGGGTTAACGAATGGAGTTTCACATTGTATAGATATGATGCTGGCCATTGCAAGGCCACAATAAAGGTGCATAAATGCATTAGTTGCATTGCAGTTGAAGTCACTGAAGTGTATGGTTGGTGAAGAGAGGGCTAACATGGGAGGTGAAATGTGATACCATGAAGAGACATCCTTTGAAAATCAAATGAATACAATCTGTGTTGTAGATTGTCATGCTCACTAAGGATGTCCAAATCGTTTTGGTTCTATGTACATGAAAATATTAGGGTCATTCATGTTGGTGCTACTCACATTGGTGGTACCTTCCCCTTCTCTCTTACAACCGCTTCAGTTTTGATAATAAAGGGGGTGTCATTGCTACCCCTGCTCTATATTGAGGTATTAACTATTTACAGTGATTCTCACATATCGTAGAACAGGTGTGATTAATTGATACAGGACACAATAGGAAGAAAAAAAAAAGACAAGGAACAGGTTTCAGACCTATGGCCAGTCAGCGTATAATGACCACTCTACCATTGAGTTTTTGAGGAGCATTGCTTTGGCCCTCGACCTTATATGGTTCCCCTGCTCTTCCTTCATACCCTTGCAACTTGTTCGTAAAGGATCCATGCCATGCCTCATATCTTTCTAGGGAACCTTAAACTGATTTTATTTGTATTATATTTCATATGTTTCAATTCATCTATCCTTTTGGGGTCATTGGTATAAGGGATGTCATTAACTGTCCATCTCTTTCTACATGTGGAAAGTTAAGGGAGGTTTATGATGATTCTTTAATCTTTTCTATTGAGTAAATTTGTTATTCTCATGCATGTGCTGATAACAAATTTGATCGTTGTGTCAGGACTCAGACCGTCTTTTGGATTTCTGACCACATTCTCCATAGAGCCTTCTTTTTCTATCCTTCTGAAGAGAGATGTGAGGGGTTATCATGAACCACCAGTTTTATCATGAATCAGTTCACAATGTCCATATCGATCCATTATACTTTATACCCCTGTTTCTAGCACTCGATAGACCTTTTCTACCATCTTTTTCATTTCTGAAACAATTACAAGTGTTTTGAACAATCACAGATGTTTTTTTTAACTGTGGATCTTCTCTAGAAGTTTGATGTGTATTCTCAACATTCAGTGTGCTACTGAACAATCTAATTCTTCATTCAGTTCATTTTACCAAGTTAAGTGTTAGCCAAATTAGTCAACTTTTGTCTGTTTTAATGCAACAAGATTATCTCTAACAAGTAGTTTTGTTGCTTCGTTAATTGATCACATTTTTTTCATGAAAGGAGTTATATTGGTTCTGGAGAAACAAGACCATTCAAAAATGGTTCAAGTCTTTTAGTATTAAAATTCTATGGCTCGAATTTTTAGTATTGTTATCTTATATATGCATCTCCTATTCAGGCAGGATGCAGTCACTTGGTGTCACTAAGAACTGAAAGAAACCACGAAAATGGAAGATACATGAGAAATAAAGAAATAAAGCAATGTAAAACTAAGACAACCAGTTAAAAAAACCAATGAAATGATTGACACAAGATAAAGGTGAAGAAATAAAACTAGACTCATCCATATCCACTTCAACAGTCCTATATGTTTAACATAATTTTAGTTGTTGAAAATTTTTTCATGGCCAGAGTTAGATGAATGTCCTGTATGCCTCTTCCTGGATGCAGAATTGTCAGTGTTCCATTTTTTACTGAAGTGTATCCTTATCTCCCTAAAGTCATACTCATGGTCAATATTACTTGAAAGATAAATATATAAATCCAACTAATTTCATTTTCCCATTTATGTTTGCCGCAAATAATTTGATATCGCTATGCAGGTATGACTTTGCTACCAATCGATGGCTGAAAGAGACAAGCTTACGTAAAAAGCTTCCCTCTGATGACTCCTGTTGCTTCGCTGCCATGAACGAGGAGCTCTACGTGCTGACTTCAGAACCCAGAAGTTCCCCTAAAAAAAGGCCAACCCTAGAGATTCAAGTGTATAACCCTATCAAGAGGAAATGGAAGTTTCTAACCACTAGCGTGCCATTCAAACATGCAATTGATTTTAAGAGTGCTGTTTCATGCACCGTCAAATTATGATGCCTTTAGATTCTCAGTGTATAATTGAAATGTTCCTTTTGATGTATAGATTTATACACGCGGCGAACGGTTGGATATTGTTTTGTATCGCCACTTATTAGGTGTAAAATGTTTTTGTTTGCTGTATAGATTGTTTTACTGTAAGTATTACAGATAGAAGTTGATTCAAGTATGTCTTGTAAATAAATATCTGACATATATAATCTGTGTACGTATCAAACAACTGTCCAGACTAGTGCAACCTTTGTATATTATTGTCTGTATCAGGTTGGTTTATTCACTTGGTCCTGTTACCAAAACGGGAATATATTCTTGTTTTCCTTTCCTTGATTCTGGTGGATATTAGGTAAGTGTGAAAAGCTGTCGAAATTAAACTATATACGCTCATGTACGTACGATAAACTGTTAGTAAGCGCTAGAAAAGTGTCATTTTATTTTATTTGTTAAAAGGCTTAGTTGCAGACTGTTTATGAGACCTTTTCTCATCTTTTTGCAAAAAAAAGATATTAACCACCACAACACTTTTGACTTCGATTTCTTTTTTATTTTTTCCCTTTTTTTTTTTTTTGACTGCAGGCAAGTTTTACTCCTAAAATAAGAGGTGATAGGCTCAATGTCACCTCATTTGCATTAGAATACCCCCAAAATGTTTCATCTCAGTAGAACATTCTGATTAAATAAACCGTAGACCAAGAGAAGCATCCACAAGAGAAGCAACTGATAAGATTATGTAATAGCACTTCGAGACAAACAATAAAGTTCCCTTTTTAGATTGAGGTTGTGTTTTGTTAATCCCAACTCCCGCTATAAATGTTGGAAATACCATTTAACTGTTCGATAAAATTTGTAAGGATCTTGTCAAGTACATTCATCACTTTTTTTTTTGGTTGGGGGGGA